ATACAGTGGAACCCCGGTTAACGAACTTAATCCGTTCCGCGACTCCGTTCGTTAACTGAATTGTTCGTTAACCGAAGCAATTTTTCCCATAGAAATTAATGCAAATGCAGTTAATCCGTTCTAGTGTCCGAAATTTTTGTGATTTTATTTGTAATATACAGTAGATTTTCTTTGATGAAAATGTTGGAAAACGTAGTATCTATCATTACAGCAGCAAACAAGTAAACTTTGTTTAATAAAAAGCATTGTACATACCTTCGTTTGTTGTAGTTGGTGTCAGAAAAGTGGAGATATACGAACCTTAATGCTTAGAAGGAGAATCCCTCCAAAAAAATAACTGGTAACACTTGATCGGAAGATTCTTCGAGTCGAAGTCTCTTTCGGTAAGAAAGCCCACCAGTAGCTAAGCGGTCTTCGTACCCTGAACACGGGGAGTTTGTTCGTGGATTCGCACCTCGCTCAGACGGGCTGGCCACGTGGAGTTTTCCGGGTTTTCTCCACGTCTGTAACACCTAAATAGGGGCCAGTTTTCCTTAAAAACACCTCCTAGAAGGCATTCCCCCTAGGCAGATCGCCTAAGTGTTGTGTTGCCATAACTTAACAAACAAACTAACTCTTTCCGCAAGGAACAAGAAATTGATCTAAAGTTGATTGTCTTAATCTTTTAATCAAAATTTTTCTCAAATGCGATATCACATTGTTGTTTTCTATTGCCACTATGACTTTTTTGTTTCTTGGATGCCATATTGATTAAATATATAAATCACAAAACAGAAAAAATAAGTATAACACAAACACTCGGAAAAGCAATACTTAACTCGCGCATGCCTAACACCAACTAAAATTTGACACAAAATACCGTTACGTTTGTTATCCGAATTTTGTTCGTTATCCGAAACAAAATTTTTGCAAAATAAAAGTTCGTTAACCAGGACGTTCGTTAACCGGGGTTCCACTGTATATAGTTTTAGTGAGTGTGGGAGTTTGCCCCCATCCGGACACGGAGATGCCAGCAATAGCAAGCACCAAAGCGCACAACTATGTGCAAAGCGTGTAGAATGGGTGGTATACTGATGTGTTAAAAACTGATCTTTGGAAGTGAATATCTCTTGAAGGATCAAAAATTCTGAGGGTGGTGCAAAATGAACCCCTCATTCAGAGCTTGAATCTTTATGTATCAGCTGGCATTTTTTTTCCCTACTGCACAAATATCAGGTTTGTTTTTGCTAAGCTGATAATCCTAGAGTTAATAAGATGTTCTAAAAGACAAATAGAAAATAAGGACAATAATACAAATGTTATATATTAATTTCAGTCATTGTTCAATCTTAATCATTAGATGCAATTCAGTGTAAGTGATATAATTTACCATAAGTGCAATGAGGTTGTGGATTATAGTTTTAAATGATGATATTGATCTTGCAGATGCATAAAAAATATCTATTATTTATATTTGATACAAATGGTAAATTCTTCAGTAGCTCTTTTTTGTAGGATAAATAATATATGCACTGTGTAAATTTAGGTAAATATTTTAAGTTTAACGTTATCAGAAGAAACTAATACTTATAAAACTTGGAATTGAACAATTAAACTGCACAAATATGGGATTCACATGGTACATTTTGTATCCAGTTGCATATTAGATTATGTGTTGTTCAGAGGAATGCTTTACTTTAGGCTAGTATTCTAGGATGACAATTAAACCATTTAACAGTTCAACTGGTGTGAATTGGACAGTTATCATGCACAAAAATGAAAGAATAATTTTCAGAATAAACTGCTGAGATAAAAGACAACAGAATCAATTCAAGTATATATTTGAGTGAAATAAATTGATTCTCTGTCAAGACTGCAGAAATTCAACCTCAAACATTCTAACTCTATAATTTGAACAAGGTATAGGGGCAACATTTTCATATAAAGAGTTTCAATTGATCTGTATCAGTGAAGTTTTCCATGAACATTTGATAAAAATGCTTTCTCATTTGAAAATATGACTACAGGTAGCCCTCAGTTTACGCCACAGTTCTGTTCCTACAAAAGCCAACGCAAATCGAATTGGCATAAAATGAACCCATATTTACAGCGAGGTATAAGGTTAGGTTCTACATACGTGAAAAATAAGCAAATAATTTTGTTTATTAATACAATATAATACAAAATACATATATTATAAATTTAATTTTTAAGAATGTATTTTATGATAAAATAAAATGAAATGTTTTTATTAAAAAATATTTTAGTTTCGGATCTCATACATTTTTCAGAAAAAAGGATCCATCTTTAATTGTTTACATTTTTGTTTTCTTTCATTGAGAATTTCGGAATATGGTCAAATATGATGCTCTTTTTTACATTTGCAATTCGCTCCCAATCATTGTCTAACTCACAAAGTTCATCCATCAAACTTTCCATAGTTGAAAGGATATGATAACCCGAAATAGAGCAAACACATACACTGAACCAATATAATGTGTGGTACGATCGACGAAACAAAAAACAAACGTTTTCGAACCTCTTCTAGGTTCTTCCTCAGGTTCCTTTAGCTTTTTAGCTCGTAAATTCGATATTTCAAATAACTTCGTTCTTGCGATCGAACAGTTCTTTTTTAAAAGATGTGTCGCGCATGCCGTTCAAACTAACGACTGCCGTCAACGAAAGACATTAACGAATGTTGTTTAAATAATTTCTTTCTTAAGATCGAACATTTCTTTTAAATTATCCGTCACGCATGCGTGACATGTCCGCTTGCTCGGAAATAACGAGCAGTTAAAGCGTGTTATGTATCAACTCTTGCCAGGCCATCGACAAGATCATCTCCTCTTTAAAATTTATGCACGTGGTTTCGATAGAGGATTTAAAGATGTGCATCGCCTCTAACCACTTGAGATGTTCATTGGGAGGCGCACCGAGGAGGAGATTGGTCCTATTAAAGTCAGCAACTATGCCCGGGTCTGTTGCGTATGTAGCGAGGGCCGTGCTGGTTCTCCCGTGACGAATGTCTGCCTTATGCTCCTGTATTCTGACACCTATGGATCTTTTAGTAGAGCCTATATATATTAAGTCCCTGTCGAATCTGTTATCTCTCAAAGGGACACTATAGACCCCCGGTCTTCTGCTGGGGTTAGGAGGGTCCTTCCCATTCCTTAGGATGTTAAAAATAGTAGGGCACCNGATGCACATCTTTAAATCCTCTATCGAAACCACGTGCATAAATTTTAAAGAGGAGATGATCTTGTCGATGGCCTGGCAAGAGTTGATACATAACACGCTTTAACTGCTCGTTATTTCCGAGCAAGCGGACATGTCACGCATGCGTGACGGATAATTTAAAAGAAATGTTCGATCTTAAGAAAGAAATTATTTAAACAACATTCGTTAATGTCTTTCGTTGACGACAGTCGTTAGTTTGAACGGCATGCGCGACACATCTTTTAAAAAAGAACTGTTCGATCGCAAGAACGAAGTTATTTGAAATATCGAATTTACGAGCTAAAAAGCTAAAGGAACCTGAGGAAGAACCTAGAAGAGGTTCGAAAACGTTTGTTTTATGTTTCGTCGATCGTACCACACATTATATTGGTTCAGTGTACGTGTTTGATATATAAGTGTGGTGAGTTGTGAGTTTTTTATACGAAATAGAGCTTTAGATGAGCAGAGATGCTGGTTGGTCAGCCACTGTAGCGCATATATAAGATCAGTTTGGGCCAAAAAATTGAAGCCAGTTTCGTCTCGCTAAGGAGAGTTAGATATCGTCTGGCTAATGAGAAGTAGATTTTGTCTCACTAATGATAATTTGTGATTGCCGGAAGTGCTACTGCGTCGTAGATATTTTCCTGAGCGAACTGATATAGGATACAAACTATTTGCATTCGTTAGCGCTCTGGATTCAAACGACATTCATTGGACTATTAAGTTTAATAACTTGACTTTTGGGAACCTAAATGTTTAGTATTTTAATATTAATTTAATGCAAATGTATACATACCCAATAATATTAAACAGAAAAAATAAATATATTCGATAAAAAATCTTTGTTTTAATGAATATACAATGCCATGATCAGTAAATATGTCAACACTGAAACGAAAATCAGTCTGGCATAGAGAAAATTGGGGAATTATACTGCAAAACAGTGAATTGTGCAACAGTGTTATTGTGAATCAGCATAAATTGAGCCAGCGTAAACTGAGGGCTACCTGTACTTCAAAAGTCACAAGAGTATGATAAATATTGTAGTGCAAAACCAAGTCTCGCCTCATTCTGCTCACTTGTCAAATAATCTATTTTTGCCAGACAATGGTCAGTTTATCCAATTCTTTTAATTGTATTTATACAGTATTCATTGAGTGTCATATTTGCAAGTTTTGTTTCAGCAATGTCAGGTTAGTTAAAGGTTGTTCAATGACATAATTCATTATTTCTCAATCCTGTGTTTTTCTGTTGTCATGACAACAGAAAAGTATTGTAAACAAAAATATTCAGAATTAAAAGCATTAAATTTTTCAAATATATTAAACACAGACTTAATGGATGAAACTACAGCATTCCCATAATAATTAATAGATTTCCAAATCTTTTGTTTTTCTACAAAAACTTTTAACATAACCAAACTAACATTTCTCATTTTAGAAAATGACACACTGTAGATTGTTACATTTGCAAGGGTGGATTGAAAAGTTTCCAGAATCACCAGTATGAAGTTTTTCTTTTTTTAAATATTTTTCCTGCACTGCATTAGTAAATCTTTTGTATGTATCAACTCCAAATTTCACATCAATCTGGCCAATAGTTAGGTACTCACAAACATTGAAGTGAGATACCCTGAGTGCTTGTTCATACATTGAGAAAAATAAAACTCAAGCTGTTATCAAATTTTTCTGTTTGGAGGGAAAAATCGCAACAGAAATCAAATCCAGGTTGGCCAATGTTCTTGGCAATTCATCACCTTCATTGTCTACAGTAATTTTTTTGATTTCAGAATTGAAGTGTGGCTGCACACACATACAAATGATTAACCACATTCAGGACATCCAGAAACTGCAACTACTTCAGAAATTGTAAATAAAATTCATGACATGGTATTAGAAGATCGTCAAATCAAAGTGCATTAAATTGTGGAAACTGTGGGTATCTTCTACAAATGAGTAATTTATATTCTGCATAAAAAATTTGGTTTAAAGACATTGTCTGCAAGATGGGTGCTGCATTTGCTCAGTCCAGAGCAAAAATGCATTCAATCCTGAATTTCAGCTGAGAGTTTGGAGTTGTTTAAGAGGACTCTTCTGAATTTCAAATGACAATTTGTGACAATGGATGTGACCTGGATTCTCAACTATACACCAGAAACAAATATTGAAGAAACGGTGGACAGTGAGCAGGTTCCAAAGAATGTGAAAACCATTCATTCAGTTGGAAATGTGATAGCATTGGGGTTTTTTTTTTTTGACTCCAGAGGAATTTTGTAATTGACTCTCTCGAAAAATGAAAAACTCACTGGCCAATACTATGTAACACTTTCGGACAAACTCAAAACAGTGATCCAGAAGAAATAACCTGGAATGATCAAGAAAAAGTGCTGTTTTATGACAAGGCACCTGCTCATTCTAGTGCAGTTGTTCAGCAAAAACTGGCAAAAATTAAGTTTGAAATCCTTCTTCATCCACCATATTTTCCAGATTTGGCACCCTCAGACTTCTGCCTGTTCCCAAAACTCAAAACATTCTTAGCTGGAAAGAGATTTTGGTCCAATGAAGTGGTGATCAAGGCTGTAACATTTATTTTGAGGGCCTCACAGAAAATTGCTTCCAAAAGGGAGTTGAAAAGATAAATGTTGGATCAAATGTGTTAAGATTCAAGGGGATCATGTTGAATAACTTGGAAATTGTTTATTTTGTTTTCATTGTCATTCCAGAAACTTTTCAATCCACCTCCTAAGAGTGCAATGTACTGTACAGTAAATGCATTGACTGAAAAAATAATAACTGAGCTTATTGTAATATATTTATTTATTTAAGATAAATTAGTTCAAGAAATTACTGAAAGCATATTTCTAAGTTATTGATGATATTCTATTGATATAGTTTAGTTATGCATTAGATCAAATTTGATTTTGCGACATCATCTTTATACCAATTGGCATGAGATGATTTACTTTTGTTGCTGACTATACATACATGTATATCCATATTGCATGTATAGGGTGTTTTTTTTAGAGGTATACAAATTTAAAATGAAATAAAACACATAAATAATGTTAATGGCCATGGTGTTGGCTTTATTTAAACAGGGACGCACAACCTTTTCTGAAGAAGGGCCAAATTAGGATTAAGTTTACTGACTGGGGGCCGGACCTCCAAGTGATTAATGCGATGGCTGAGATTGGATGCTGGCGGCAATCTTCTTGATGTCTAGCGTAATGGCAGATGTTGAAACAACCAGCAGATTTTCCAAATTCTCGTTGGTTAACCTGTTCCGTGTTTTGCACTTGTTTAAATTCATAAGCGAAAACGCTTGTT